AGAAATCAAGGTCAATAGTGCCTGGTCTACAGAAAGAAAGAACGGAGTATACAATGAGGTGCCAAATTGCATTAGGAGAGAGCTGGTTGAGGGGAAGTTCGAATAGCTTGCAGAGGTCAAGGAGGTCTTGGTTTATGGAGAATCTAAGTCCGAGCTCCATTTGGTCGCGGAAGAATGTGTAACAACCAATCATGGGATGCTCAAAGATGTCGGACGGTAGATGAGGAATGTACTCCCAATCTTCTGAGTAGGCCACACCTGAATAGAAAATAATCGTGTTGATCCTCACTAATATAGGTAAAAGAGTTAGGCTTGTGAACTGCAACAATCCTGACTTGGGTAGCAGATCGAGGAGGAGAATCAACTTCATTTCCACGTCAACCTCCTCGTCTAACTCATCGACCAATTGAAGAGGTCGAGAGGTGGAGGTGCAACATGAGAAGAAGAAGGAACATACGAAGAAGGACGAGGATCCGGGTAAAACAATATAGGAGTAGGTTCAAGAACAGGTCCTAGAGAGGAAGGGGACATCGCAGAAGAGCTCGGCGAGCTCATGCAGGTGGTGCGTGAATCTAAAAAAAACAAGGAAAGAAAGAAAGAAGACAGAAAAATAAAGCTTTTTTAGGTTTTTTGAGGAGGCCAAATAAGGACGCAGGCCAAATTATTAGAAATGTTCGCATGGAAATAATAGGATTAAGACTTCTCTTTCCGCTTGTTCATATCAGGGCTTTTTTTTTTAGTTCTTACCATCCGATCCATTGGGGGATTAACCAATAAGCCCATAAACTATTTTTTATTATAAATAAGATTGCAATATTTATATGTGTTTTTTTTTTTATTGGAATAAAATTATTTTTATTTATCATTAATTATATAATACTCAAATATTTAATTTCAAAATTTATTATCATATTGCTTTTAACTTTTTGCTAAAAATAAATATATTAGAAGTAATTTGAACTACTCTGGTTTTTGCATATAATTAGAAACATTTAAATTTTTTATTTGTAAATTCAAATTTCGTATTTAAATTTACTACTTTGGAAATTTCAGTAAATGATCATTAACAACATGAAGCATGGTTAAGATTACGTTCGTATATTGCTTAAATCAGATATTTTTCAAGCTCCTACGTTTAACACAAAGCCGCTAGGATTTTCTTGAAATTGCTAATGATAGCCGAGAATTGAATCATGCACACAAATCAACAAATCAATGTTGATTCAATTACTCTCTCCATTTACTATTATATAGATGCCCTTTTTTTATTTAGAGAACAACAAGAGAATTAACTCACATTTTATCAAATATTCCAAATCAAATATTTAGATATTAGTTTCCTAGTGATCATATTCTCTTACCATGCTTTGTGTATATATTATATAATTGGACAAAAAGCAACACATATTTAGTATCAAAATATTTAAACCTTGACAATTAAATGTAACGGCGGAAAGGCGTATCTAATATAATGGTTACAGTCTTATAGATATATTATTGCCGTAAGTAACAGTTTGGTTTCCAATCATAATGTCAGTATTACCAAATATTATAATATAATTGACATAAAAACCTTAGTTTGGTAGTCTCAATCATTAACTGTACTAGAAAAAGGCAAAATTTATTATATATTCCGAAATCCTACAGCACAGCTTGAGCTAGTCTCATTCATTAATTTTGAATATTTAATACCAACCCCTCCAATTCCAATCCCACTTCTCTCCAAAAACTTGTCTTCACTCTCATTCGATGGACATTACTAATCCAATCCCGACTTGCCAGCCGGATGCGGACGCGTCCGGGCCCGGTTTTTTCACCGGCCGGTGCATCATCGTGAACGGTCCGGTCATCGTGGGAGCCGGCCCGTCCGGTCTGGCCGTGGCGGCGTCCCTTCACCTTCAGGGCGTCCCTTTTGTTATCCTCGAGCGCTCCACTTGCGTGGGGTCCCTTTGGCAGAGCCGCACGTACGACCGTCTCTCCTTACATCTCCCCAAGCACTTCTGCCGCCTTCCCCACCTCGACTTTCCCCAAGAATTCCCAGAATACCCCTCGCGCGCACAGTTCATTACTTATCTCGACACGTACGCCGAACGCTTCGAAATCCGCCCGAGGTTCGGCGAGGCGGTGAGCCGCGCGGAGTACGATGACGCTTGCGGGCTCTGGCGGGTGACGACTTGGGGCGAAGCGGAGTATTTGTGCCGGTGGCTGGTGGTGGCCACGGGAGAGAATGCAGACAAGGTCGTGCCCGAGTTTGTGGGGTTGGGGGATTTTGGGGGAAGTGTGATGCACGCGTGCGATTACAAGTCGGGAGAGGGTTTTGCGGGGAAACGAGTGCTCGTGGTTGGATGTGGGAATTCGGGCATGGAGGTCTCGCTCGATCTCGCGCATCATGGGGCCTTGCCTACTCTCGTTGTTCGGAGCACAGTGAGTAATAAATTAATTATAAATATTATCAAAAATATTAATTAATCATAAATATTACAGTGAGTATTTGGTTTATAAAATTTTCTCAAAAAAAAAAAATCAATCTAAATTCAAATCTAACTTAACACCTACTATTCTCAATATTATCATTATAATTAAATAATTCTAATCAATCATCTTACAAATCAAATCAATTTTAATTTACTGTTCATCCGTTCGCATAATTTAAACTAAATGTCACTTCAAATCACTTTTCTTCTACTTTTACATCAAATCAATTTATTTTAATATAAATTCAAACTCCTACTAAAATCCAAGACAATCAATTTTTTTTTTCAATATTAAATATGGTTAACCAAAACAATCAATCTAAACAAATATATATATATATATATATATGTAAACAAACATACCCTTAATATGTCAAAGTGCCTAGCTAGTAGAGTATGACTGTATGAAGGAAAGACTAGTTAATTATTAATTAAAAAAAAAAACAAAGACAATAGGAAATGTTCTCCGTTAAAAAATTGTATTTGCTACTGGACAAGTACTATATCTAAAGTTTGATTGCGAAATTTGAGAATATTTTTTATTTAAACAAAAAAAAAGGAAAAGAATAATCTTGACAAAATGCACCTTCCTATATCTAGGAATCTTTGAATTAATGACATAACTTTTTTGATTTAACAGCGATGCAGTTTTCGAATAATTAGACTTAACTGCATGGGCAGCACTTTTTATTCTAAATATTTAATAAAGTGTAAAAGTAATATATTACTTATTAATTACCAACTTTATTGGTGCAACACTATCTATACAGGTCCATGTGTTGCCAAGGGAAATATTGGGACGGTCAACTTACGAGCTAGCGAGCTGGTTGACTAAGTGGGTTCCGATTTGGATAGTGGACAGGATTCTGCTCGCAGCATCAAGGTTAATCCTTGGGAGAACAGAGGATTACGGGTTGACAAGGCCCGCAATGGGCCCGTTAGAGCTCAAGAGCACGCAAGGCAAGACCCCGGTTCTTGACGTGGGTGCATTTCCCAAGATCAAATCTGGTCATATCAAAATCGTGCCTGGAATAAAGAAATTCTCACAACATGGGGTCGAGCTCGTCAATGGCCAAATTCTTGATCTCGATTCTGTTATTTTGGCCACCGGCTACTCGAGCAATGTTCCTTCATGGCTAAAGGTGAATATAGGAAAGCAAGTTCTTTTACTTTTGTTTTTTGTTAAGGTTTAAAACTTAGTACTCCTCCCTATTCAGTTTTGAGAAGTTTTGCACAATAATTAAGAATTTTTTTTTTTTGCCAGTAATAACCATGTTTAATGAAATTAGTGAAGTAAAAATTAAAGATATGAAGAGGGATTGTGTATTTATTAGCTAAATAAGAGTAATAATAGAAAAAAAAATGTACAAAAAATTCGAAATATCATTTATTTGGTTAATGGTTGATAAAGTCAGAATGACATTTAAAAAGAATAGGAGGTAATAGTATTTAGAGGCAAAAATGAAAAAAAATTCAACGTCTTC